AAGGCTTGTTATTTAATGAAATAAGGTTCCCAAATGTGAAGCAACAAAGAAAGAGACATAAATCAATTTTTTCTTTCTCTGTCTAGATGGGGTAGTTGAGGCATCATTGTATTGTAGGACAAATACATTGCTTATGCTGGGGATGCTTTGGGTGTAGAGTAATAATAATCACTTCTCAATCTCTGCCACTACAACTTTATAATATATATATGTTGGAAACAGTGAAAGAAGAACTCAGAAAGTGAGAAAATAAATACCTTAACGCTGATTTTGGGGCATTGGTCCTTCAGTAGGGTACCCTACACTCTACTTTCTACACCCAAAAGCTAAAGGGGGGGTCTCTCAGGTCGAGATCAGGCTGCCTGATTTTCACCTACGCAATCAATGCTTGTGTTTCTTCTTGGACAGAGAGATTGCAAAATTCCCATAAGCTGTGAAATAAAAAGAAGTTTTCTTTTTTTCTTAGTGTTTTGTCTTCTTTTTTAATTAATGGTTGGGCCAGAGGTGAAAGTTGGGAGTTTCATTGCAAGTGCATATGGGGGTGAGTGGTAGCGTGGGGACAAGTCTTTTCACAATGAATGAGAATACACAATAACAGAGATATTTGACTCCAAATCCAGATCCTAGTAGTGGAAAATGGAAGTTTGTTTGGTTTTTTTCTCTCTCTTTTTCTTTTTTGGTTCAATTTGTGGTGAGTGTGTGTGATCTTTCCTTTCCCAATACGTGTGGGTGTGGGTGTCAGATGTTTTAATTACTAAAGAGTGGAGTGAATTGTACATTTTCGGTAGTTTGTTTTGGAGCCCAGCCAGGGCAGTGCAGGCCACCATCAATGTCCTTCTGCCCTGTCCACACTTTCCTCACACATTTACTACCACTACCACTACACAGTACCTGCTGTTCATAACTCAAATGGCAGCATAAACACAGTTGAAACTCAATGAAACTGCTCCATCAAGATGAAGGAAAAAGGTTTGGCAGGTAGTTTGTGATGAGTTGTAATATAAAGTTATGCTACGAAACATAACCGATTGTCGTGGGTATTAGAGATATTTGGGAAAAGAAACAGGTTGAAGGATTTCGCCTTACCTCGAACCGAGGCAATGTACATTGCCCATGGGTGATGGTTGCTGTTCATAACGACGCCCTTCTACCTGATGGTTGCTGTTTGTTACCTTTTGAGCTAAATAAAACCCTGCAATTTTGAACAAGATAGATTTTGTTTGTATAATGTGACTCATGCTTTACAATTAATATTACTATGCTAAAGTTTAACTTATCAATATAAGATACGTGAAGCATGCCATGTTAAGGTACCATTTCATTGAATGGTAGAGTACATCACAATAATCTTTTAGGATACCAATGTTTCTATATAGAAAATGATGATTATAATAAATCAATAATGTACTACTATATTCCTGAAAATATGAATAATTGGTACATAAACTACAGAAAACATATCATGTTATAAAATATGAAAGTAAATAATACTAGCATTGCAATTCCAAGATAGTGGAGATTAATTTGCTTAGAAAAGGAAAGGCTATGATGAATTCTGAAAGAGAGTAGAACAGTTCTTTTTCTTGCACAGATGACAGAACCTGGCAGATGCAACACAATCACACTATTCAGTGCAATAGGGGAAAGGAAATAATTCAAGCCAATGGCCCATTTGCACTATTATTTGCACTTAGCAGACGCCTGAAACAATCATTCATTGGTCAACCATCGTACTGTAAAGCCTATTAAAATCAATAATTGATCCTCAGCAACCACAAAAATGTTTACACCATGATGATATGACTATCATAGAAATCTTGTATTTGACC